GGCACGCGGGGAGCAGTTGGGGGTTCGGTGCCTTGCTCAAGGGCACCTCAGTCGTGGTATTGAAGGTGGGAGAGAGCGCTGTACATTCACTCCCCCCCACCTACAATCTCTGCCGGTACGAGACTCGAACCCACAACCTTCCCAAAATTGATGATAAAGACATTTATAATGTAACAAAATATTTATATTTCAGATAAATGCTGCTCTTCTGGACTTTCTATTCATCAAAAAAACCTGAAAAAATTTCTACTCAGCTGTTTTCAACATCGTAATAATAATAAATGTTTGTTGAGCAGCAAATCAGAATATTAGAATGAAAACAAAACAAGTGGGCTCCCCCAAAGTCCACGGTATAGTTCGGTATAGGTGTGGTTTGCTCAGGTACATGACACTATGTGTGAGTTATAAGCCGCATCTCAAGCAATGTTAATTAGATACTTCATACATGCATATGTTACCCAATAATTACTATTTGATGACAGATCTGATATAATTTCTCCCACTCCTAAGTTTAACTGAGAGGTTAATTGAAAGTCATGCCTTAATCCTTAAAAATAAAACAAAATGCATAGTAAATAACATCCCATAATATATCAGTTTATAGCCTAAACTATAAGCCTAAAACTAGAACTGCAAAGACTCTTCTCCTGTAAAGAACTGTGATTCTCAATCATTGATTCTTAATTGATTATTCTCTTTTGCTGTTCTCTTCGTTGTGCTCCCATTGTGTGTTTTTCCGTAGTCGGACTGTCCTGCAAAGATATCCTTCATTATCACAAAGCTAAATATTCCAATCTTTTTATTATTGTGTTTCTTGCCTGTTCATCCTGCAAACCTTTCATCAAGTATGTGCAGTTGGGTTCACACTCATCTGTGTCTGCCTTACCTGACAATGGGTACGTTTACATGGACAACAATATTCAGATTTTAACACGACTCATGTAAACACCTTAATCATAATATTGTCTTATTCAGAATAAGGTAAATAATTAGATTACTGATGTCCATGTAAACGTACTCATTGAGAGTTTAGCTCCAACCCTAATCAAACACACCTGAACAAGCTAATCAGTGTCTTCAGGATTGCTAGAGAGTTACAGGCAGGTGGGTTTGATCAAGGTTGGAGCTAAACTCTGCAGGAAAGTGGACTTTTAGAGGGCCAGAGTTGAGAACCTCTGGTCTATAGTGCCAAAGGCAGCACTAACATCTAAAACCTCTTTCAAAGATTTTTGATGCCCCAAGTAATTTACGTACCCTCGTAAATTTTGGCTAATCAAATGATTATTTTCTCTTCAAAACTGCTCGTGGTACGATCCCAGCTGCAGAATACCAAAGCCGTTATGGTCAAGAAGTTGTGTTAAAGCCAACCAAACAGATCAAAACTGGTCTGTGTCAAGGGTGACACTAATTTATTGTGTGTGTTAAAGTGATTTTGTGATTTTTTTTTTCTCATTGCATGTGTCTGTTGACATGTCTTCTCTTATTTTAATGAAGAATACAAGGCTCTGCGACTGACAGGAGGTCTGGACCGATGCTCAGGGAGAGTGGAGGTCCATCGAAATGGTAGCTGGGGGTCAGTGTGTGACACGTCCTGGCAGAAGGAAGAAGCTGCAGTGGCCTGTGATATGCTGAACTGTGGAGAGGTCAAACAATTCACGGCCTTTGACCCACCCTTCAAATATAAAAATGGACCACTCTGGTATTTTATCTGTCTGAGGGGAAGCACAAACCTGTGGCAGTGTTCTGAGTACATTAATAGTAGGTTTTTGTGCATGGAAACAAAAGCAGCTGGGCTGATTTGCAATAGTAAGTAACATGTTTTGTGCTTTTGCATGTCACACACAACATTTTAATAGCTAAAGCAATAGTTTACCCCAAAACAAAAACTCTCTAATTTTCTTCTGTGAAACACTACAATAATTTCAAAAAATTTTCACACAGCCCTTATCACAGTCTGTCAACCTTCCAAAAAAAAAACCCTCAAAAAAAGTAATTCATAAAGCTCATATATTATATTCAGAGCCTCCTGAAGCTTTAGCCACTCATGTTTTCCCCCTTTGTTGGAGCTCTCAAACCAAATTTTGCACCATGTGAGATCTAATGACATTGGCCATCAATGTTGCCACTGCATTGTAGTCCATACAACTTGCACATATATTCCAATTAATTAATAAATAATTACATATATGTTATGACAACTGCAAAATGTAAGGCTGCTCTGACGCTGCTCATTTACACAGAAGTCAAGTCAAGTCAAGTCACCTTTATTTATATAGCGCCTTTAACAATACAGATTGTGTCAAAGCAACTGTACAGCATTAATTAGGAAAATAGTGTGTCAATAATGCAAAATGACAATAGTAAACACTAATTTTTCAGTTAAAGGCAGTTCTTGATATTCTAGGTATTATCAAATTGCTAGAGTTTTGAGAACGCAGCGGACGTGGAGGACTATAATGTAACAAGAGCTCGTTCAAATACTGAGGTGCTAAACCACTCAGGGCTTTATAAGTAATAAGCAAGATTTTAAAATCTATACAATGTTTAATAGAAGCGAAGCAGCCACAGAGCTGCCTTTAACACTAGACTCTAGAGTGAGTTTGGAGCAGCACAAAGGCAGCTCAGAGAAGCCCTGTGTAAAACAACATTAAGATTAAAAAATTTTTCTTTTCCAGATTCTCTTGGTCTGCCTGTTCCCACCAGTCCAGAACCAACCTCAGCACCAGCAACCACAGGTGATCCTGAATCTGTGGACAGTCCACATGGATTCTTCCCGTCTCCAGAGCTGCTGGGGTGTTTCGTTCTGGGTTTCTTTCTCTTGATTGCAGTTATCACAAATATCCTCTTGTGTCATCATGATAAAAAGAAGAAAGGTGGGTGCAAACCTACAGCCCAACACCATCCAAAGCACAACTCTTTCAATTAATTGTTGGCAGAAAATCTTGTGGAGCATCTTATTAGCTACATCAAGACCTTTATTTGGATGAATCTCACAAAACCTGTCAAGAGCATGTCCATAATCAATGGCAAAATAAATAAATAAAAAACAAGAAATAATAAATTACATTTTACATAAGACAATTTAAGGACCATTGAGATTTACAACTGAGACAGTTGTGTGTTTCCCCTCGCTGTTAGCTGCCGTGGCCCAGAAGAGATACATGAACCTGCAGACCGCAGCTGAAGCAGAGGAACACAACTACAGAGATTCTGCGCATCTCGTCAAGGTCACAAACAACAGCAGTGATGCTGAGGTTGAGTGTGTTTTACTCTGTCTGTGCTGATGTTATGTGGATGACAGATGCTCTACAAACAATTGTTAAATTGTTTTCTTTGTGCCCTTGTAGTTCCCGTATCTCCTCAGAGTATCTGGGCTCAGAGTAGCGTTGAGAGTGGATCGTATGACACAGACTATGAGCAACATGACATCAGTCCGGAAACAGCTTTTCCTTTATCCACTTTTCAAAGTTAGTCATCGTTAAGTGTTATGGACAATACTGAGAAAGCAGGAGAGACCAGGGATGGTTGTAACGCTGGGTCAGCTGTTATAACGTCAGATTAACCACACAGAAAAAATGGAAGTGAGAGATGAAATTGATAGCAGCGTTAGGGAAAATTATTTTCAAAAGCAAATTGTGTTACTCACTAAAAAAGTAACGGCATAACACTTTATAATAACTTTAATTTATAAATCATTAACACACATTATATAATGCTTAACAGATCATTAGTTAATATATATTCACATATATGAATATATATGAGATAATGTTCTTGTTAATGTTTACTAATGAACTTACTAAACATTACCTAATGATTAACATTTGATTA